ACAAAGGGTATTTAAAATGGAAACCACGAATCTTGAAATCTAGAGATATTGATTTTTGTTTGGATAATGCTCTTTGATTAATGACAGTGACAACAGAAATGAACCCTTGACCCAACCCTGCACTTCCAATTTCTTACATGGCTCAAAATGCATTAATGGCTCTAAAGGAAGGGAAATCACCACCAAATAATACAAACATCGAGCAAACATAAAACAAAATCAAATATAGGAATTTTCCAAATCAATGACCGAATAAAAAAATAAATATTCTTATTATGTCTATACAAAAAAATAGTTACACCCATTAAAAACAATTACACCCATTAAAACCAAATCATTTTTTCCCCCTTCATTCCAACAACGAACAAACATAATACAAAATCGAACATAGGAATTTTCCAAAAAAAAATGACAAAATAAAAGAAGAAATATAATTATTAATAACTTACCTTTAAGCCGATGACGGTGATTGGTATTTATAGTTCCTTTTTTCGAATAAATCCACCACCGGAGAAGTAAATCGATGTTGAATAAGACTCTTATTGCCAAGATTAGTTGAAAACAGACGTCAAAAAAGACTCTTGCAGTTGAACACAGACGTTTGAAGACTCTAAATGTAGAGATCAAATTTTTTTTTTTAACACACTGCATAAACGGTTGAAGAATTTTTGTGTGTAACTTCATAGACTTTTTGACCTAATGGATAGATCACTTTAACATAGACATTTACTGCATAAATTCCACAAAAACTGCTCATTCAAAATTCAAAAATTAAAGATATCAAATATGTAATATTTATATATTTGTTTCCTAAAATAACTGTCAATGATTGTTGTATAAATTAAGGAAAGGTGTTTTAGTAAAAAAGATTTTAATTCATTTGAATTTTGTACCTAAACACAAAAAATTTTTATAAAAATTGTACTTAATACAAAAAACAACTTATCCATACACTTTTGCCTAAATAAGTCTAAAAAATGTACCCATGCCTAAAAAACCCTTCTTTTTGTGTGTTTATTTGGTGATAAGTTATCAAGAAATTTTTTTTAATATTAAATCTATTTTGATATTCATTATTTAAAATACTCTCATTAATTATATTTAATTATAACAAATTTCCAAATAAAGAAATCTTAAATTTTAGAAGTTTGACTAACATTAAAATTATTTCTCTCATATATATATATATATACAATAAAGTAGAACAATTTTGAATTTTGGAGGCAAAGAGTAGCTCAGATTATTTCGTGACCAAAAAAGACAAAAATTTAACAGATGACGTTATCTCAAACTGTCTCAAACTATTTATGTCTCAGATCGTTTCGATTCAACGGACCAAAATAACTCTTGGAGGCGTCTTTGCCGCTCAAAATTTTTAATTTCCAAAATTAACATTCCTAAAATTTAATTCCCCCAAATCTTTTCCTAAAATCAAACAAATCCTGACTCTGGACTCTCTCACACTCATTCTCTCTGTTATCTATCTCTCGCTCATTCTCCTTGTATATCTCTCTCACTTAATTCACACACACGCACACGCACACCCAATTCTGTTCACACGTAACTCTCTCTCTGGCCAACTCTCTATCTCAATCTCGTACTCCAATTCATGCTTCGCACACACAATGAGATGTATGTGATCACCTTTCCATAAGAAGGCATGGTTGTGATCTCCTTTCTATATCAAAAACTATCCCAAAAATATTGCCCCAATGTCCCGCCCATTTCATGCCTAATGACTTCCTCAATTCTTGTCTCTCTCAATCCAAACTCTGCAAAGGCGCTGCTCTCTCTCTCACCCTCCTCATTATCACCCTGTGCATTCCACTGCTTCTCACACAACAACTTCCCTATGAATTGTATTCCCCCTCTCAATTTCTCCATCTCTTTCTGCTCACACTCACCAACACACACCCGAACACGCACAATAATACAAAGTGACAGGGCCACACACTTGAAAAACTTATTCTTTGAGGTCATTGTTGCTTTGTGTGCTTTAGAATTGAGATTTTTAAATAACTATGTATTTGGGTTTGAATCAGTGTTTTAAAACCCAACCCGGCGGGTCAACTCGGTGAACCAGTCCCTTAACCGGGCCGGTTCTAACAAAAGACCGTTTATGCAAAGAACCCGGAATAAACCTGCTAAACCGGTCAAAATCGGTAAACCCGTGAGAACCGGACGAGTTTATCAAACCGGCTGGTTTAACTTCATTTGTATGAGTGTGAGATATTTTTCATCATTTGGGCATTTTCCCTTTTTGTTTTGCCCTAAATCGATCCATCAGACCAAACATCAGTGACAACGACTAAGCACAGCCTCCACCAGCAACCAACGACTGAGCTCAGCCTCCACCACCAACGACGACTGAGCACAGTCCGGCTCCAGCCTCCACCAGCAAGCAGCAACGACCAACGACTCCAGTTCAAACACTAGCGACTCCACCAGGCACCAGTGACTGAGCACAGCCTCCAGTCCAGTGACAAGGTGAGTTCTCTCTCTCTCTCTCTCTCCACCTATATGTGTTTATATATATATATATATATATATCTGTAGTTTGTGTGGGAGAGAGTTATGTGATATGGTGGTTCTCTATTTTCTTGACACATATTGTTCTCGGATTTTTTGCACCATATTGTACAACAATCAAAATGAGTTTGTTCAAATTGACTCTGTTTGATCAGTGTCATTGAATAATTTGTATTTGTTAGATCCCCAATCTCAAGACTCTATGATCAAGAAATGCGTTTTGATTCCTATTTCTAGAAATTTAATGTTGTTGCATTATCAGTTTGAATACATTGAAATTGGATATATGTTTGATAATTGTTCTTTACATGTTTGATGTTATTTTTATAATTATTGTAATTTTTTAGCTTATTTATTAGTATTTATAATTACTTTTTAATTTTTTATCATATTACCAGTTCGACCAGTGACCCAACAGTTGAACCAGTGACCCATTAACCCGGTCTCTTTGTCAGGTTGACATCCGGGCCGTGTTTTAAAACTATGGTTTGAGTCCAAGATCTAAATTTGTAATGTAACATACCTTTTTGTTTTCAATTCATATCCCATGGTGCAAATGTGATGATGACGATTTATTTTCATAGTGGTTCTTATTTCCAAATTGTGATTTGCGTAAACTTTGTTGCTTTAATTGGGTGCTATCTGTTTATTTATATTGCAGTCATTTTTCAATTTCTATCAGCAATGTTTGGGTTTAGGAAATAATACTAAGTTTTATTGTTCTTCATTGTTACAAAAGCAAGACAAGTTGAAATTGTCGGGCACAAGATTAATTTGAGAATAGGAAAGCAGGCTAGCAATGTAATATTTGGTGTAGTTTAAAGCAGTTTAGCAGATTGCCCACATTTTCTTTGTGAATTCCACTTTAAAGTCCATTTATTGTGGAATTGTGGATTTTTACTTGCTGTATTTTTTAACGTAGCTTATCAAAAAAAGTATTTTGCTTTAGAGATTGTATTTGTCTAAACACTTGCAAGGATCTCCAATTTTCATTGAATGGTTTTTGATTTATTGCAGGCTTTAAACTCAAACACTTGTTGAAAATATGATCAAAGTGACCGACCAAAGTGAATTTGAGGTTATTATATGAAAGTTGTAAGCAAAGGATGGAGGATTGGACAAAGAGCTAATCATCTTCAGATGTTCCATCATCATCTATCATGGAAAGATTAAGTTGAGCTCTTGGGACACATTAAAAATTGCATACTATACATGTGACAGATTTTTTTTTATGATAAATGATCAACCTCTCCATTGGCCTTAAATGTCCAAGACTTTCATCTTAACAGAGACATCTCTGTTTGATATCAATTCCCTACCGAGGAGATCCCAAGGAAAGCATGGGATTACCTGGCCGAGCTTTCATGGGTAAGGTTCCTTAGTGGACTCTTGATGTTCGACTCTTTAGAAGGTAAAAGTACCCATTAGTTGGTCATGCTCAACAATATGATGTCCGCTGATACACATCTAGAATTGATTTTATGCCTATAAGTGATTTTCTTTTATATTGTAGAAAGTTTAGTGAACTTTTCAATTCTTATTTTATTCATATGGAGTGGGTTTCACTTTTTTACACTATTCTTTTTGATCTAATGAATTTATGACTGTTTAGATTTTTTGTTTGATTAATTATGATTTTATTCGTATAAATGTTAATCTGTGTAGGTCAATTGATGACCATTTGAATTTGGTGATTGCAAGTTTAAGGTTGGTTCTCAATGATGTGTGTATATAAAACTTTGGCTTTGGTGACTCTAGACAAATGCATCAAAAGCACACCCAAAAACCAGTTTATTCTTGAAGACTTCTCTTTGGTTCAATTTTCTTTTGATCACTTTGATTTTTTATTTGCAAGCTCATGTTAAACATTTTATTATTAACAGTTTGATATAAATTTTGCCAGTATATGTTTTATGTTGTATTTCACTAGGAATTTTAGTTGTAAATTTTGCTACGAGTAACATGAAGGTTTATGGTGGTTTGATTTGATATCTATATAATTTGCATTTGTAATGAACAATAATTGCTGTGATTATTTTCCTATACAATTCAAATTTTAAAAGATAAATAAAATAACTTTTACTTTTTCTAATTGAGATCTCTTTAAATTTTACTTCAAAGTTAATATTAACACCCCAAATTTAATAAAGAAATAGATCCCTAAAGATGTGTTTGAGTGATTTTTTAAAAATACTTTTAAAACTTATAACTTCTCATAAACCACCCCTACTACCACCACCACCAACACCTACCACCACCTGCCATCCTACCACCACCTTTTCCATAACAATCGCCGCCACCACCACTCCACCAACACCACCACCCCCACCCCCACCCCCACCACAATCACCACTGCCGCCACTCTACCACCAACACCACTATCCCACCATTACGCCTATACCCACCACCTTCATCGCCCCACAATTATCACCACTACCACCACCGTCATTGTCATCCCACCACCGTCGTTGTCACCCTACTACCACCACCACTGCTGTCGCCATCAAGCCACCACCATCGTCGGCGTCACCCCACCCGCACCACCATCGCCACCCACCATTGATTGAAACCACCATCATCCACCGCCACCGCTCACCCACCATCATCGTCATCTCATTGTTATACTTATTCTCATTGTTAATATCAAACTCTTGAACATTGTGGCTAATCGCATAATTTACACACTTGTCGGCTAAGCTCCTCCGAACAAAAAAATGCTCGGATGCAGATAAGCGAAAAGTACAAACGGTGGAGTCCTCTCGGAGAGAGAGAAAATGGGTCACAAAATTCATGAAGCAACGCATCTTGTATTCGTAGTAGAGGCACCAATCTGATACAATTTCGAACGAAAATGGGAAATTGGAGTCGTCAAAATCGAGATTGGAGTCGTCAAAATCAAGATAGGGGAGAGAAGTCCAGAGATACCTCCACCGTTTGGACAACAAACAGGTTTGAACGGCGACCTTGATGCTAATCAGAGAGAGGATTCGATGGAGTATTACGTCGGGGTAAATTGTTGATTCTATCTTCATTCACTTCCATTTTCTTCTCCGAAACAAGTTCTTCTGATTCCGATACCAATTCCTTCACCTGCGGAATCGATCGCATGATCTCCGGTACAAGAATCTCTCTCAACACTCGATGGAGTCAGGGCCGAAAAGCCTGGGCTTTAGGCCCATTTTTTTAGTGAGGCTTACGTTTTTGTAATAGGAAATTTGGGAGGAGGGTCCTCTTTTGTGAATTTTTTTTTTTTTTTTTTGAAATAGAGTAATTTCATTATTCTTGATCTAAAGCCAACAACTCGATAATAAAAGGAGGAGGGGATACAACCCAGAACCCTCGACCAGACGTTGGGTCCTCTTTTGTGAATTTATTTAGTGATAAATTTATCAAAAAAACTTGTTTAATATTGAGTTTAATTTGACCTCCATTATTCAAAATACTCTCTATTATTTATATATATATATAAAATCACAAACAAATGTATATACTGAAGGTACTGTATAACAAAAACTTTCTTGAAAAACGGAAAACAAAAATTGAGGATTGACCATAATGAAAAGGAAATGATATTATAGATATACGAGTATGCCAAAAGAAAAAAAAATTTCAATCTAGTGTATCGAGCTCCCTTCACGTTTACGAACATAAATATTCTCTCACCCAATGGGAAGGGGAAAATAGAAAAAAAAATAAAAATCAAAGAACAATTATGTGATCCAATTATGTGGATAATTTGGACTTGTGAGAAGGGACAAAGAGCCACAGAGAAAATGAAAAGTGTTGGTGGCATAAAAGGCCCTTTTGACGCAACCCAAATTGACATCTGAATGCATAGATTGTGTTAAGGTTTTGATTTTATACCAACAAGCAATGACATAAAATAAAATAAAAACATACCTGACATAATATAGAAAAACAAAGTATTAATAGAATATGACCCAAGAAATTATATCATTTCACCATAGATACACCAAATCAGCTGACACATAGAAAAAGTTCACTACAATGGCACATATACATATACCTTGGTAAGAACCAAAGAGAAAATAACCAATAATCACCATTCCAATTGATAAATTCTATGTTAGGCATTTCATCGATCAGTTTTCGAGCATACTTGAATGCAATTAATAATATTAAAATTATAAAGCAGGCCCCAATCGAGAGTAGGGAGAGGAAAGAAGAATGAAATAAAAGTAGGGAGAGGAAAGAAGAATGAAATAAAAATTTATCTAAACAAACAAAGAGAAAAAAAAAGTTTCAATTGGTATTGCTGTAGCATTATTTCAATAAATGTCGTATGCCAAGAATGAAGTTTAGCTAATCACCACAATCACTTGCACATGCAGAAAAATGAAAAAATTTACCTAGCTAATAACCACTGTTATTGAGCCACAAAGAAAAACTAATAACCAGAGTTTGGGTTGGATGGCATTGGTGTCTTAGGGAGTAAGGAGGCACCATTGCGTTGTATGGAACAACTAGTAGCTAAACATACAAACAAATCGTAGACACTAATACATGCACACACCTTGGAAGGTTAAAACCATCGCAGCTTTGTGATGAATCAAAATTACTTCTCTATTACTTTATGCTCTCTGCCCATGAGTTAAAATGTAAAAGTAGGACACTGCTTCCAAAAAAATGGTACTGCTGGGAACAAACTGGAATTCAAGGGTATTGATGGGAATGAATTCGACGGTATTGGTGGGACCTGCAACAACATTGAAAAATTAAGAAAACCCATTTTGCCTCATGCAAAGGGATGAAAACTCAATTCATTTGCATCTCAGCAAATCACAACTACTGTATTCAACTTCCAACAACTTTTACTATTCAATAGCGTGTGTTCAGTGCGTGTGCGTGTGCGTGTGCGTGTGTTGCAAAAACAAAAAAAGAGAGAAAATATTGTAACCTATGGGAGGATGATGATCAATCTCTGAGCTTCTTCTGACTCCTAGCATCATCAAGAAAAAAAAAAAGAGATGAGAGAAGGGGCGGCTGCTGGCAAAGAAACATGAAGGGAGATATAACAGTGAGCAAAACCCAATTTAACAGTGAACCCAAAGCCAAACCCAAACAGTGAGAAAATTAATTACAATGACAAAACCCAATATAACAGAGAGCAAAACCCAATATAACGGTGAACACAACCAAAAACACGTTAAGCAAAACCCAAACCCAATCATGATCTTTAATTTAAGCAAAACCCAAACCCAAACATGATCTTTAATTTAAGCAAAACCCAAACATGATCTTTAATTTAAGCAAAACCCAAACAGTGAACCCCAACTCAAGGTGGATATGTAGGAAATCATGAAATTCAAAACCCAAACCCTTTTTTTTGTTTACACGATTTCGGTGGATTGAACATGATTTATGTTTAACCAAAAAATATCGACATGGTAATCTGTCAAACATCTCGTGTGCACAGTGGGAGGAACACCAAGAGGGACTTTCGGGTGACACAGAAAAAAAAGAAAAATGGGAGATGAAATGTGTGAGATATATGAGATGAGATACCTGAACAGCTACACTGGCTGTCGTTGGCCGTGGTTATGGCTGTCGTTGGCGGTGGCGTTGAGAATAGATGCGGCTGTTGCTTCGCAGAAGAGGGCAGAGATAGAGAGAGGCATGTAAGAGAGTTGAAAAACATATAAGTAGAGGGAAAGATATGAAGAGAGAGAGAGAGAGAAAGGTGCCTAGATGACATTTGCTGATTGAGCCATGACAGAGGAGCAATCGGTGAGAGAGAAGGAGATAAGGGGCCTGAGTTGAGTCTTTATCTGCCAAGGAGAGAGAGAGAGTTTGGGTTGGGCTGGAGTGCTTGGGATGCCGTGTGTGTGCAGCTCAAATGGGCGGAATTTGGATTTTGGAAGGAATTGGGAAAAATTTGAGAGATTTCGAAAGGGAAAGAGGCGTGAGTTAAGAAATGTTGTTGGCGGGAGAAACAAAATTTATTACTTATTGTTGATTTTTGGATTAATATTTATGTGACGATTTTAATCGTCTTTTATGTTGAAATTATATTATTTGTTTGATGTGTTTATATTGTATCTTAAAATGATATAGATTTTTCTTTGTCTCCAAAATTCAAACACAACTCTACTTTATTAGATAAATATACATTCAAACACAAAAATTAGTACCACTTAAACACAAAAAAAATAGTAATATTCCAAAATAAAAAACTGTAACATTGAATATTAATATTTAAAAAAAACAGTAGTAACATGGTCAACAAAAAAAAAAGTAACATTAAATATTGATTTTTCAAAAAAATAATAATATTCAATATTAAAACTAACATATTCATCAAAAAAATAGTAACATGCTCAATAAAAAATAGTAATATGCACAACAAAAAAATAGTAACATACATAGTAACATTCAATATTAAATTAATCATAATCCTCTCAACAAAAACAAAATTTTGAGAGAGAAAGAGGGCGAGAAATGATAGTCATGTCAAATTTAAATTCAAATTTTAGATTTTATGAAAAAAAAAATCTTTTATTAAGTGTTAATAAATGATGACTATTTAGAAAATTGATTTAATATTGAATATTATTTTTCAAGTTATTAGAAGAGAATTTTAGAGTTTTAAAAAAATAGTAGACTCAGAGGTGGCTCAAGATAATTTGAAGACTAAAGCGGTACCTTTAAATTAGGCCTCCTATGTTTAGTATTAATATTTTTTATTTAAAATTAATTTTTCTTTCTTTTTGAATTGCAAAAATACTAATTAAGTTTTTATTATTAAATTTTTTTCAATTGATAGTATCACTAATCCAGTTAATTTTTCTTGTAATATAGTCGATCTTAACTAAGATTTTATCAATTTTAATTTGAAAAATCTTTTTTTTTCGTAGAAACACCCGTTATAAGAATTATTAATAATATTTCTATAAGCAATGCATACATTTGGAAAAGAATTTAACTTTTTTATATAATTTAGTATCTCAATTGGAGTGTTTTTTTTCGTTTGTAAAATTTTTTTTAAAACATTTAATTTTAAAAATAAATCGAAGCCGTCAATGTTGGAAAAATTTTTGTATTTTAAGAAATATTCAAGATCCAAACAATATTGTTTTAAACTGTCATCGGTCAATGATTTTAATTTTTCTAAGTTAAATAAAAAACCACAAATATTTTTGTACATGGACCATTTTCTAGAGAGTTCATCCTGAGAAAAATTTAAATTATTATATATAATTTGACCATTTTCTACAAATAAATCTCTTAATTTTGTATCAATATTTTTTCATTAACTTGGATCATAAATATTGATATGACTACAATCACTTATTTCATTATCTTTTATTTCACTATTTTTTTTTTCAATATTTTCTGTTTCATTATATTCTATTTTATTATCTTTTATTTCAATATTTTTTATTTTATTCTCTTCTATTTCATTATCTACTTGTTCATTTTCAAAATTTCCATCTAAACTTTTTGTTACATTATTTTTGTTACTAGTAACAAATTTATCATGAGATCTTTTTTGAGATTATATTAGTAGGTCCATTTTTCTTTTTCTTTTTTTTTTAAAATTTTTCGTATCCACTTGATTGTCCTCTAGGTGTCATATTATTAATACATTATAGCTATATAACAACCAAATAAACACAATATATAATATAGTTAAACTATATAACACAATCTTGAATTTAAGACATTTTTTTTTTCAAAAAGTAAAAAAGAGAGAAAAGAATACAAAAAAATTTAAAATTATGAAATAATATAACCTTAGATGGTCTCAAATATTGGCTTTTAGTTTTGAACCAAGTCCCTTATGGAGCAATGAAGTGGATTATGGTGCAACGAAGTCGACGGTGGATCATGGATGGTCTCAAACTCTCAGATATTAAAATGAAGACTTGGCTATGGCTTAGAGGATTACCGTGAGAGCACATATAGAGAGACAGAGAGAGAGAGAGAGAGAGAGAGAGAGAGAGAGAGAGAGAGGGGGAGTTTTGGTTTTGGTTTACACAAAGTGAGTTGGCTTTTGGTTTACCGAGAGAGAGAAAAATAAGTGGCAGCTTGAGTTGTAATGATTTGACTTTTAAATTTTTTTTTTAGTTTGATGTATTTTTGAATTCAATTTTTTTTTACTGGTAATTTTTTTTTTTTGATATTTAATATTTAGATTAGACTATGGGCCTAAATAATTGATTAAGCTTATATTTTTATAAGACTTTTTTTATATGGGTTATTTATGGTACTTAAAAAATTGGGGACGGCCTAAAGTCCAACCTTTTCTAAATCTGCTGTTGGGCAGGTCCTGAGTGAACTTAACTATTTATTAGTAAGATTAAAAATAGACTTACTCTCAACTAAATTTTTATAGCAGACTAAACTCATTATAAGTTTTTAAGGACGACTCAATCCTAATTTTTTACTTTTAGGCCTAACGTGTCACGAGACGCCCCAGGACAGAGTTAGACTATTTCTTCTTCTCACTCGATCTTTCTCAAGTTCCAGTGAAATTAATTGCTTGTGTTGACAGATAGTTTTAGGGATTCTTCGTCAATTCTTATTTTGGGGGATGTTTTTTTGATTTTCAACTCTCTTTTGCTCTCATCTTCACGCTATCTGTTGATCTCTGTGCACAGTCTTCGTGTTGAAACGGTCATCTTTTGTTTGTTTAATGCAAAATTCAGATCTCTCATTTTTCTAATTTCAAATGGATCGGAGTTCATGGGTCTCCCATTCGGACTTGGTGAAATTAAGAGTGACCGGTTGAATATTAATTAAAATTAATAAGACTTGAAATTCAAAAAAAACAAAATCTATTCTTTTAACTAAAGACCGCACGCACCCACACAGGCGTGTGGTCTAGTGGCACTTACCGATCGGTCCTGTTTGAGGTTCATAAAGGTTATGCCTCTGACCAAAAAAATAAACGAAAAAAAGGTTATGCCTCATTGTCAATTTATGAAGAATTAGCATGTGATGCATGAAATTTATAATTTTTTAGTATTATCATATTCTTTTAATTTTAGTATTTGCCATCCAAAATATATAATCAAAATTAAATAATAAAATTAATTGCTGTAGCAAAACTGAAATCACTAAGTATACTATTTATGTAAAATAAAATGTATAATCTTAACTGAAATGACATACTTAATTGCAAAACAACAATAAACAAGAAAGATAATAACGGAAATGAGAATCTGAGTCATGTGTAATCACAATTTCCTTAAGATAGATTTATTTCTTCTTAGTATTCAAGGTTGATAAACAATTGCCTCCCAAAATAGAACAGATTTCGTCTTTACAAAAATAACACTTTAATCTCCAAATACTAACGCACACAGGTTTTATATTTGAACAGTAGAAAAATGCAATGCTAAAAAGAGAAATAACAGATGCAACAGTATGTAGAAAGTTAAAGTTATTGACTGTTTTTCGTTTATTGATAAAATAGCTTGAAGGCAATCTATTTATAGACCCTCTTGTATCTGTTCGGATTACTTGAAAAGACATGAGACACCACTGTTTGATGAACAGTCATGAATGACATTTTTGGGCATGAAGGGACACTGTTGTTAAAAGAACAGAGACGAAAGACATTTCTTGAGTGTGAACAGGCACAACCAAATATAGGTGTCAAATTCAAAATTAACGGACATATTATTTGAATTTCGGTTAGAGGAGTAATAGCGATCCGCGTCTGGATTCATTTGGTTTGACCCATAACTCGAACTGAATAAATTTTTAGCAAAAAGATATGATCTTTTTGACCCAAGATCGATTGGTGCGTGCACACGTGATAATCAAGGTTGTATAAATGCTCGCTCTGCTTACAAAAATGTGGTATTCTTTAGAGCCCAACCCATGAAGCAAACTGGAAGTATACTAACTCAGCAAGTTTTTGGTTTTCTTAAAATGTGTGACAAGCCTTACACTTTATTAAACTTAGTTTCTTTCATCTATTCAAGTGGGTCATTTTGAGACATAATTTCTCATTCAATGTTTAATGGTTTTGAATAAATAAATATACAATATTAATCTCATTACAGAAGAGAACGCGTTTAAATTTGGTCCCACCAATTTCGTGGTGTGAGTCCCTCTTTTATTTAAACCCAATGTTGCTCAAAACTACTTGTTAAAAAACAATTATTTCCAACAATTGGATAATTACCTATTAATATGTTAAAATGAAAAATTGTAAAGTTAAAATAGTTATGAGAATTCAAATGTGAAATAGTTTAAAAAAGTTATCGAAGTGGTTACATAGGATAACTGGGATAATATGATTGGAATGAATTAATTAAATATTTCAACACTAGTTAATAAGCATTTGAGAGGGGAAGGCTTCTCAAACTCTCTCTCCCCTAATTTGATTATTTTTTATCTATAGATAGATGGATCGTTGGGTAAGGCTGATAACCAAGCTAAGCTTTATAAGCACGAGTTGAGCCTATCAAGCTTTGTTTTTTTAAATGAATTTAAAAAATTGTTTAAGCTCGGTACGTTTAAAAAAAAGACGAGCCTGAGCCGAACCCAAAGCAAGTTGAACCCAATCCAAGTCCGAATAATTTAATTATTTACATATAAACGAGTCACGCTTTGCGAGCTTGAACCAAGTCTTTTATGCTTGTTTTTTCAACCAGTCTAACAAATTGTTCAAACTCGACTCGTTTGGAACACAAGTAGAACTTAAGTCGAATCCTATCCGAACCGAGCAACTCAATTATTAGCCTATTGTTGAGTTATTTCTAGTGATTTAGTGTAGTTGGATTCTAACTATGGCTTAGGCCATCCTTAAAGAACACATGTTAGTTCTTTACGTCTAAACTCCTCGCTTTCCTAACAGATGTAAGGGCTGT